ATATACATAGTGTTGATACCAGTGATCTCCCAATTGTAATAGTTACAATGGTGATATGCGTAATAATTGCAGTAAACTTTCCACAGTAGTTTTAAGGGGGCATTACACAGGAAATCGGCATCGTTTTATATGTTCGATCATGATATGTTCGTAATAGAATTGAAAAGTAAAATCTAGCAAAATTGGACAATATTAATTCATATATAAAAATATTAATTTTTATTATAAATTCATTTATTAGACTCGCCCACCATACTGCATAAAAATGGTTCCCTTTTAAGATTACACATGGATCTCTGGCCTTAATTAATCAAACGCTTCAATCTGTCGCTATGGCAACCTTAAGCTATGTTTCATGGTCCTGCCAGGCCCGTAGTGGCCGCCACGGCAGCACGGCACTGCCGTGGAACTATTTTGAAAAAAAAATTCTGCAGGGACCGAAGGAAGCAACATAATACCAAGGAGATGAAACCCCGGGGGGGGGCGGGCACTCGCACCACATTATGGTAGGTATGTGCCACTGCGAAGTCAACAATGGGGCGCTCTCTGAACTAATCAGACCTGAAAATGGGGTCTCTGGAACTAATGTTTGTTGGATGTGGTATGCTCTGGAACTGGCTATGTTCGAAAATGGGGGTCTCCGGAACTAGGATTTCGTTGAAATTCAATGCTATGACACTGGACACGTTTAAAGAGGGGGTCTCCGGAACTGTGGGGGGGAACAGTAATTTGCTTTAAAATCTATGCTGTAGCACTTGAACCAATAATTTATTGTATTATGTATAGGAGAAAAACATGACCGGAGAGAGATGAACGCACGCACACGACACACGCGCGCACACACACACACACACACCACACACGCGCGCACACACACATCACACACACACACACACAGAACACACACACACACATACACACACACACGCACACACACGCACACACACACACACACACACACACACACACACACCACACCACAACACAACGCACGCACGCCGCCACACATACAAACACACACACGTTGCATGCATGCCTTGACGGCCGCGCTTCAACGTATTCTGAAGTACGATGCACTGGAACGGAAAAACTAGGGTCTCCGGAACGGCAAAATTGTAAGATCTGCATCGGTAACTAAACTTAATGCTCTGGAACGAGATATTCTTAAAAATGCGATGCCACTGGAACGGAAGTTTAGGGTTAGGGTTGAAATTTGGTTGTCTCTCCCGCGGCACATACCTACCATGCAATATATATGGAGTGCCCCTCCGACCCAGCACGACCCAGTTAGGCTCAACGATGCAATGGTCATGCATGTGACCGAGACATGTTAGACAAGGTAGATGAACAGGATGTAATTCAGATTTGTAAGTTGCCATCAGGCAGAAAAGATAAATTGAATAATAAAAAATAAAATGACAAGTTATTTTACTGGACTGTCTGGTATTACTATTAATATGATCAATTAGAGGTGTATATCATCAGTGCTCTAGATTTGGAATGTGTATTTAATATGACAGTGTGCCTCTTCAAAAATTCAAAACATACAGATGTACATAGTGAAAGTATAAATGCAGATTGAAAATAGGGCTTATTTTTTCATAATTATGTACTGATTAGTATAATACAATTTTGTAAATAATGTTTTTTAGTTATCATATCATAATATATATTTTAGATCATTAGTCAGAACATCAGCTTTAGCTACATCCTTCTTTTGAAATTTTACAAATTGACCTTTTAAAATGATCAGAATGGTTGCTTTTAACATAGCCTGAAAAAGCAGGAAATGCCATTTCCAGGCTCTAAATTTCAAAAGATTTTATGGGGGGAGTACCCCCAGACCCTCCGCATCGGCTACATATTTCTGCAGTGGCAGTTTTTGGAGGTCACTACGGCCCTCGGCCTGCTTTTACGCTGGAACTATGCAGAAGCAAAAATGTTTTGAATTTTCACAAGTCTGGTACGTTACTACAGATAAACTGCTCGAAATGCAATCATTTAGTTATTTGTTGTTGCATTTTTCGATAGAAATGTTTTCAGTTTCAAATGTCAGAAATTGGCAGAGAAAGCGAATCCGACATGGCAATGGCTAGCTGCTGAGATAAGGAGCAATTTTCACCAAAAGATATTTACTTATTTATTCCTTTCTTTCACTAATTTTGTTTAATATTGAATGAAGAGGTAGTAGACAGCGATGACAAATACACAAAGCGCGACATAATCGACATCTACGTTTCTGTATGTTATCACACAAGCTCGTATCTGTCTATAGGCTATCAGTGGGTTGGCATTTGTGAAAGCAATGCTGTAG